TGGCTAGCTCTTACCTGAACTGCAAAGTACTCTTGTGGGTTCTCAGGGAAACACCAAATATCATAAACTGCAGGTGGCTCATGGAATTATTCTAACTGCAAGCAATAGCACTTCATAGTAATGAAAGAGAAACATATTTGTTTCGTAACTAAGTAGGTAAATAGCTTTCTTTATTGCTACTCCTTGGAGACCAACAGTTTTGAAAATAATATATCAAAATGATAGGCTGTCAAAACTCATTAATTTATATTCAATTGTTTCAGACATGTTTTGTTATTGGGGCATGCTAGACTGAATGCTTATCATGCGTGGGTGGTAGCATTGTAAAAGTAAAATAATGGTGTATGCTGGTGAAATTTGTTGTTGTTGAATGAAGAGCAAGAGAAACTCAATGTGGGGAGCGCTGAAGCTGCACATGAAACGCCTTCATCAGTTACTGGTGCACTTCTAGGGAGATCGTCTTACATAATCCTAGAAGACCCGTCAACAAGGCAATCTCTACACCGTAAAGTAAAAAAAAACTGATTTCCTTACTTTAAACATAAATAAATAAGCTCTTCTCCCAATAGACCAACTTAAATAGATTTTAAAATATTATTCTTGCTTTTTTACATTTTAAAACTGAAAATCCAAGATGAAGAATTATGAACATGGCAAGTTGTAAATAAATCGTGATATACACACACATACATATACAGCCATTTATGTAGCTGTGGGAGGTTTTGGCCAATTCAAAAAATGCAGAATTTTCAGGCTCAAAGTTAGCTATTCTATCTCCTCCCAATGCCTGAGCCAGTGGAGAGCCCACATGTTGATTTCCAGCCTCTTTCTCGCCTCTGTATTCCTCTCTACCCCGGGCTCCTTTTCAGTGCTATTGTTACAAGTGCTACTGCTCCTCTTATTTGCATAAGTGATTCTTCAACAGCAGATAAAATTCTCTACAAAACTGGTGCTTCAAACTAGTGCCTTTCACTAGAGAAAATCATCCAAGGCATACTGAAGTAAATAGAAATGCAAGTTTTATACAAAAGCAAAATGAGACCTTTCACAAATGATTTTCATTAAACCAGTATTATTTGCACAACTTCACCTCAAAAGGACAGAATCCATTTGTATCAGAATTATGAAGCATAACATGAGAAATGATTAAGGGACTGAACACTTTGATACTGTGCCTGCTGCTCCGTTCACATGTGCAAAAGATCTTCCATCCCGGGAACAAAGTTAACAAGGGAGAGAGTAATTCTTCCTACAATTTCTGAATATCTAGAATCTATGTTCTTTAGTTGCTTTAACTTAAGTAGGTTCTCTCTTTTTTTTACAAATTATGTTTATTTTTATATTTACTCATTCACAGGCTTTGATGTTTAAGCTGTACAGCTGAAATTTCCCTTTGTAGCTACGACCAGCACTAGCAACAAGGTAAGCTAATGAATGTGCTGTGGCTGCCCATGGAGCTGATTCTGTATGGATGTGATGCATATGTAAATATGGCACTTTCCATAAACCATCCTCAAATAAAGTAGGTGCTTATCACACTTCCTTTCATTGCAAAGGGTTAATCGGCAAGGTTTACATTAGGGAATTTTCTGAACCACACTCCTCCCTCCCCAGTAGCGCTGCCAAAAATCATCTGACAGGAAACGTAAGATTAAGTTTGTCCTACCTAAGCGAACAAAGAGTGCTCTGAACAGGCCACCAGTTTACTGCAGAGCGGGAACTTTTCTAATCCTGCTGGAATCTGCAGTGCTGCTCAGAAAATATCACGGAAAAAGTTGTTTTCTTTCCCCTAACATCTTGTCTCTGGACCATCTCATTTTGATCACACTACAGATCCTGCCGCTTCTCCCATAAAGGTTAACTTAAAGCTCCAAACATAATCATGTGGAAAATGGACATTATTGATTCCTATGGTCCATTGTTCCCCCATCCTAAGTCCCTGAAGTTCAAGTTCAATCTGGAATTACATCATGTCTGGTTTCTCCTGGTTACCAGACGGCTTGAGACGTGACCACAGCTACAGAAAAAACAAACAGCCTTCTTCACGCTTCGGCTCCCCTCTCGATTCAAACGTAAACTTTTTTTCTTTCTCTCAAGTATGCTTCAAGTATGGAGCATGGTTAATTTAGAGATTAAGTTCCAAATTAGATTATCTAATGGCATCTTAATGGATTGCTGACCCATTTCCTGTGGGATGGCAGCGTGCAAGTCTGGCTGGAATACAATTAATTTCTTAGGAAGTGTTCTGAAGAGTTTGCCTAGATAAAGAGGAAACATCGTGTTGCACAAATCTTTCTTTATAAATGGAGAAAGTTAGGCAAAACTACGACAAATCCCAATACAGCCTCAGCAGCCAGGTCAGATACTGTGTGTCTGTAAAAACCGTAGCAAGATCATTTTTAAGAATGGCAGTGTTTTTAGTTTTGATTTCATAACAGGTGCAAATGATTTTGATAAGAATTGAGTCATTCTTTTAGGTAGAATATTCAAATACAAAGAGCAATGCTAGTAAGCAGCCCTGTTACCAAACAACGGCCTTGAGCGAATGTGGCTTTTGCAAATCTCTGCCTTGAACCAAAGATTCTCCCATTCATCGACCTTATCAGCATTTCTATCATAGTCCCAGAGTGGTGCTAGGGGCCCAGAAGAGTGTATAAAAAGTTGAACATTTTGAACACACTTTAGAGCTGACAGCTGAAAAGGAAATTCAGCACTCTGAGAATAAAGCTCCCCGCAGGAACTCCAGGAACAACCCAGCTGTTGTACTATAGTTATGTGTCAAGATAACAAACGGAGAGCAGGAAATGCTAACCTAAGTGAGTTCGCAGGGACTTCGAAGTGTAATACTGAAACAGAAGTTAACTCTTAATTCCACCCAAGGACAGGACACATAGTGAGTGCCCTTATCCCACAAAGGCCACAAATATGTGAACACACACACACACACACATGCATGCACACACACCCCTACAATCTACATCCCCACACATACATGCATTGACATGCAAAAACATATATGCACCTACAAAAATACAATTTGAAACCCAATACTGAAAATTATTCTTGTTGATATATTCGTTCTTAAGTCTTTTGAGAACAACACATTTTACAATGGAAATTCCATGGACACAGCAAGAAACATGGCCAGTGGTTCAGAGCAGTGTTGTGGGAACAGAGCTGCAGGTACAAAACGCTATCCTTTGCTTTCGGCCCTCTCTCTCCTGACCAACCAGATCCAAATAACCTTTACTGGCTGCTAAATTTCTCTTGGGAAATCAAGCAACGCTCTTGAATTGCAGTAATAAACGACAATTTCTTACAAAAACATGGGTAAAGTAACTACAGAATGAAGTATTCAGCTCATGGAAAGGAACTGCTAACACGTGTGACGTGGAAAATAGCTGATAACAGTCTCGTCGGTGCCATTCAATTATGGCATCAGCAGAAACACAAAAATCCTTCCAATTATTTCGGGAAAATCTTCATTTATTCATTATTTCAGAGGCTGAGCAAATGGTTTGTGTAAACAGATCCTTCAGTAACACGCGCATGTTTATTTTAGCCATCTGAAGGCTTCTTCTATGTTTATGTAAGCCATCAGACACACACAACCGCTCACTTGTGGCTTTGAGTTTTCTTGAAAAGGGTGAAGGGGGAGACGAGCAAATGAAACAATAAATCCAGTTTCTCTTTTGCATAAAACACTCCCTCCAATGTTTCAAAATAACTTATGTTTATATTATTCTTGGATTGTCCTTCAGCTTGCTTTTTCATTCAATTACATTGCTCTTTTATATTGCATAATGCAATCCATGTTCTGACCATAATTTCCAAAAAGAAAGCCAGTGAGGGAGTAAGTGCTGTATGTGTTTGTGCCCACATAACTCACATATGCAAAACAATATAAGTTTTCCACAGAGGAGGACCAAACACAACACAACAGTACCTATTTAAGCAATTCATCTCTTATTACCCTCATAATGGGGTAGCCTACTCTCACGGAAGAATTGAACCCTTAACCATTCTACTCTGCCTTAACTGCAGTACCTGGCCTTTTATTTAAACAGAAAAGTTTACTTTCTCAGGGTGCAAAGTAATTCTTTTGCACATGTGCACACGCTCACACTCACACACACACACAAACAGGGCTCTCAAAATTCTAAAGCCAAAACAAAAGAAGCATCTTCAGGGCTGCACCCTAATCAGTGTGTGGAAATTTTCCAGAAGAGTTAGCTCGGGTTCCTAAGGAAATGTCTGTGCGTGTGTTGGGGGTGGGGAGGAGACGGAAGAACTCGCCCAGCTTTGATTGGACTTGCACAGCTACCTCGGCACTGCCATTTTCAATCCCAGAAAAAGAACTGCGTTTGACATGGGAACCCCTCCATGGAGAAAGACAGAAAAGGGGACCACCTTGGATAAGTGACTATAGGAGGAACAGAATGGTGACAGACAACACACAGTCAAAACAAAATAAAGCCAAACCAAAACACTAGCTTTGCTTTGTCCGTTTCCACTAAGAAGTCTGCAGGGATTGCCTTTTGTTAAAAACAAAAAGCGACAACCACAACAGGAATAACCTGTGATACTTTCTTTATTCCATCACGACAGAGGCAAATTATTTAATTCTCTGATTGAATAGATATACATTTCTCAGATATTTTCAATGTATTTGGATGATTCCAAAGCTGTAGCCAAGCCCTGAAGATTTCAGATGTCTGCTATCTGCCTTAAAATAGTAGTGTCCCACTTACCATTTCCTTTTGCAATAGTCTCTCTCAAAAACGCACAGGGCGTACACTATGGATTATGGATGAAGCTGTTGTGCCACAGACCTGGCCTATCTGAATGATCAAATATAGACTCTACTTGTGTTCATTTTTTAAAACTGTAACAAACCAAAGCACACTGCTGTCTCATTTGAGGACATTCACTCTGCATTCAATTGTACTTAGATTTCAAGAACTGTGCGTCTATACCAGCCATAATGATTGAATAAATACCTGTTGAATGTATGACTGTGACTCCTGCCATTATCCATTACGTGCCTTCTGAATCATGATAAAAAGGGAAGAAGAAAACCTTTATAAGAGCTTTTTGAATCATTAAGGCCATTCTAAAGATCATTATCTACTAATCCAAAGAAAAATTACTGTTTTGGAAAGGGAGAGGGTAGAAAGAAATCTTACCAAAATAAATTCTGAATTTTTTCTGACTTATGACCCAAAACTGATTGCCACACCAATTTTTCACCCAGAAGGAGAGTGGTAACAAGGACAATATTCCCCTAAGAACTGAGTTTAGCCATCATATCCATTCACATCAATCCTCGTGTTCTGTGACTCATTGTTCACTCACCTGGTCTTTTTTTGTGATATCAATTTTTGATTCAAAGAATTCCTAGGAGCTAGGTAGCTATGTATGTTTTTTATTTGGCTTTAATGTACTTTACAGGTACTATCCTATTTTAGATTATGCAAAAGTCAACCAGTGATCCATGGATTTGTAAATTTATCCAGTGAGTGGCAAATTTAGCAGCAAGAATATACTTCATTTGATCTGTATTCTTGTAAATATGGTAAGCTTGCACACAGGTAGGCAGATATGGGCCAATTTGCTAACTTAGAGGCAAATCATGGAATATAAGGAAGTTATTTAATAAAATAAAGTTAAAAACATTATATGATCGACCCAATTCACCTAAAAAATCTTAATTCAGGCTTTTTGACATGATATTTTCATTTAACTTAAGACAATGCCTAAGACTAAGTAAGATGACTCAATTGAGTTTATCTTCTTTATAAATGTATATTGTATTTTTCCAATGGAAGGAACAATAAAAGCTTCTTGAAAAGAAAATCACAACATGTAAAAACCTGTCTATATTTAAAGTTGATATATAGCAATTTTCAAAGAGGAAAAGTCATATGGTATTGATTTCAAGTTATGAATTAATAAAAGTCACAGATTATTAAAAGCAGAATGTAAATAATTTTCTTAATTTTTACCTGAGTAAAAATGGACATTTAATTACTTTGGTTCTCTTACACTCTACTCTTCAGTAGGGTCTATCATCCAATATGGAGATGAGCAGCGCATTGACAACTACCAATTCAGTAAGAACCTTTGCACAGGCACACTTGGTAAAGGGAGGGTCAGAATCGCAGAAGGGTTGGAAAATTAGGTTGGCTCTACTTAACACGATTATCTCACTCTCTCCTGCAAATTTTTATCTCTTCTTAGATATGATTAAACTGTAAATTTTGATTACTTAATTTGTGAAATTGACACACTTTGTTCTTTATTGAAACAATACATAAGACACTGACTTAGAACTACTTACTTTCCAAAACCGATACATGAGACAATATCAAAACTTGTTTTGAAAATGAAGTTTTGGGATAATCTCAGCCAACCAATCAAAGTCAGTCCTCCAGGAATTACAGTGGTACAAAATCTATTTAAACTAAACTCTCTTTAAGCTACGGATTCCAACAGTCTTCTCATTCCAAAACTTATGGGTGCTGCCAATATGAGTTACGTTGACTAACTTGACGTTCTTCTAGCTTTCCTCCTCTGACAGGAGAATAAATGAATAGCAAAATGGCTTAGCAGAAGAAAGTGTCAAAATGAGAATAATCTATGTGAAAAACAAATGCTTTAACCTTAGCTGAAAAATCTTCCCTAAAGCTGTGATTTCATTTTTCAGGTTCTAAAATCTAAATGTCAAATTCCACCCTCCATCCCACCAAAAATCTTAAAAATTGTATAAAACATTTGACAGCATTTAGAAATTCCAATGATCAGTTAGCATATGCTATAGCCCCAAATTAATTTGTTGTTGCATTTAAACAAGAAATAAAAGAGAAGGGTAGGGAAAGAGAGATGGTAGAGCCAAAACAACTAAATTTTAACATATATTTTCTGCAAAGCTAGTTAAAAACAAATATTATAGGTCATGTAATTTTTAGGTGTAAGTGTAGGGTTGGAAATAATTAAAATGTTACCTTTGCCAAGTAATTCCCAATGTATCCTCACTGGTACTGGGGTATAAATGCCTGCCGTTTTGATTCATGGTCCAGTCACAAATCCTCAGCTGTCAATTGAAACCTAGCAGTCAGATATGGATCGAGCAGTACTACAGTTTTTAGTATTTAAATGAACACATGCAAACTAGAACTGTATATGGCATTATCCTTACTTTCCCAAGAGGCAACTTAAAGGAAAAAAAAAAAGCAAAAGAAAATCTTACTTTGAAAAGCAAAATTCCTAGACTCTTTTTTAGAAAAAGTTATTGCAATATGCTTCTCTATTCATTAAAGCATACAAGAGAAACAAGTGCTTAGAACATAACAATTAGCCATTATTAGAGTATAAATTGAGCTGAAATAAAAGCAAACGTTAATATTCAATAGAGATATATTTTAGAAAGAAAATAAAATGCTTTTTCTTCCTGTGCAACATACCAAATAATCTGTACTGGGTAAAATAATCAATAACTTTAAGCATGCAGTTTGCAAAACACAGAAGACATGCAGTTCAGAGGAGAAAGGTCCCACCCTGCAACCATTCACCCTAATTTATGTTTAGAGTCATCAAGGTATTCAGTTTATATGTTCACTAATTTTGTTTCCTTTGAAGTGGTGTTGCTAAGAAAGAGTTGATAAGAGTTTTTACTCATTTTAAATTCAGAGTAGTGGCATTTAAAATACTTTTCTACATCTGAAGAAAGTATGGAATGCACTGAATACAGGCTGAAACAAATTCTTCCCAGATCTCCGCATCATCCAATCTGCCCTTCCGAGATTGTTCCAAGTAACCCTATCCAGCTCTGTTTAGTTAACAGCTGCCCTACGGTGCTAGCAGATTTATTGAAAAGATATATTGCTTATTTTTATGCTTAAGAAAGTAAACTTATCTGGCTTTGGGGGAAAAACACACTAGAAAATCATGCTTTTTAACCTTTAGATAGCTATGCTGTAAATTAACCACATCTTGTATTGAAAAGATGACTTCTTCACAGTCATCCACTAAACCTTGTTCCCTGCTTTTCAGTGAGAATTCCTGGATGATGATTGGAGCCAAAATGCCTGAAAAATTATGATAAACTCTTTTAATCCTTTCCGATTATGTTATGGCTAAGAAAACACTGGGGGCTATTAAGAATCTTTACTTTCCCTTTTAGACTCAGTTTTCTACATACTCTATGCAATAGGATGATAGCTTTTTGCTTACTTTTCCATTGATGTAGAAGGTTTCAAAAATACTACCTAAAACTTCCAAAACTTTTGCTTTTAGTTTTTACATTACAGAGAAGATGAGTTGTTATTCCAAAGTATAATTTTAAAAGTATTCAGAAAATAATCAAGAAATTTTATTTTTTATAAATATCATGGGAATCATTTATTATGTTCTAATCAATGAAAATGCTAGTTTTGAGTCAATTAAAATGCTCAAGAAGACACAGAACATATTAATCCTATCAATTATTAACTTAATATTAGCTTACATGGGGCTCTCAACTTAGACTGGGGAAGTTTTCAGAAAGAGACAACACTTCCACAAAGCCTTGGGGAATCCTAAATAGCACTCACTGATTGCTTACTGTCCCACAGACAACTACAGGAACACTATCTCCTAGTTTTTTGTTAAGCTACTCACTTTTTGTTTATTTGTTTTACTACCCATAAAAATGTAAAATGGACTAATTTTGACCATAGGCTGACTATTTAAAATCAACATACTTTTAAAGTTTTCATTCCTAATAACACTTTCAAAAGGCTGACTACAGCTATTCATTTTCATCTATCTTTAAGATATATACAATAAGTACATTTTCTTCCAGACAAGAAAAATTTGCTTAAATAGATACAAAATAATCAATAAACACACTTAGCAAAAATGTGATACCAAAGAAATTGGCAGATGACTAATAGCACTGAATTCACTTTCAGTTACTAAAACTAAAATATAACTTAAATTTATTTATCTATTTCTATTGTGGACTGGCACTATCAATAGTTCCAAAAGTTTTGGGGAAACATATATTTATGCATGCTTGTATATTGTGGCTTATGTAAGCCAGGTTACTTCATAAAGGGCCTCACCATTGTATTTTTTTAAATTAATAAAGCACCTTTGAATGAATAAAGTTCCTGATAAAGTGAAATTTCAAAGGTAATAGTGTGGTTGGAAGAAACAAAGATTAAAATAGAAATCACATGTTGTCAATGATATCCATGACCATAATTCCTAAGAAAATCAATTCCTAAGAATCTTGACTAAGATAATCCTGACCCGGCAAATTTTGAACAGACTCTAAGTATGGAAAGGTTAACAGGATGTACTTAAAATTCTTTAGGGGACATGTTAAATGCTCTTGTTATTTGTATAATTCAGTGTTTCTGGATTAATAAAAATAATTCTATATAAGGTTTTAAGTAAGTTTAAAATCATAGGTTCTAATATTTTTTGAGTTTGGGATGGTGATTCCTTAGTTTCTGTCCTGTGAGAGAATCAGTGTTAGATAATTCAGCTTTCAATGATTTTTTAAATTAAAATTTAAAACTTTAAAATGGCAAACACATACATACCTTCATTTACATAAAATATTCCTAAGTGCAAATAGTATTTCCAAGTATTTTCCCTTAAAAATGGGAAGTTAACCATCACTGCTGCAAAGAGCAATCAAATGTAAAAGAACAACTGCAGGTCAGTTTAAAAAATTTAGTCTAAATTGTAGATACATGTTGATGGGAAGTAATTCTTATTTTTTGTACTGATAAAGACTCTATAAAAGATTTGATCCTATGCTTATAAAAATGCACACTCATCTAAATAATTTTAATTCTTTATAAGTGCCTGCCAATATGAAATGAGATTCTTTAGAAAATTAAAGATGTATAATAGATCAAATTATGCTCAGAATTCCAAAAGCAAACAAAAAGTGAATGAAGGAAAAATCTCCAAAAAATCCAGGGCATAAGGTTGAAATATGCCAAACAACTGAAAAAGAAGTGAACATAAACTCTTCACAGTATATATTTTTAAGGTACACTTCCATGAAGTTTCAGGAAGATCAGCCCTATTCCTGACCCAAGTGAGATGAGATCATGTCGGAAACCAAGGATGGGGACCATCTAATTTCTCTCAACAATCTGCATAAGAGGAAATACCTAAGATCTGAATTATTATCCTTTTCTATACTACATTCTAATAATTATATATAAGTAACTGACAGCCATAAAGAATCAGTGATGCTTGTGATTCCAAAGTAAGAATGTACTTATTCAAATGAGGGCCCTCCATGGTTATTAACAAGGGCTTTTGTTAAATGCATAGCAATTAGCTTTGGGAACAAAAGAAAGAAGGTAAGCAAAATGTTCTACTTTGCTACACTCAGCAAACAGGCTGATGTAGTAACAGTCCCTCATGATGACAACAGCTCTCAGTTGAACCAATAAACCATTAAACTGTAAACAGAATAATCAACACAGGCAAATTTACCTTTTTACTTTTTTTTTTTTTTAAAGTTTACAGCGAGCCTTGGGGGACTATCTTGAAAGATATACTTTATGTTCTCCTGGGTTTCTTCATTTCTCCAGATGCCTCAAGCAAACAGATTTTTCAGGAGTGGAGGTACTTTGTGGGGAGGGGTTGTTAAAAAGATTAACACTCCAATATTTATACTTTCCTCCTAACTCTTGTTTTAGTAAAATTTTATTTTATTACTATTATTAATGACCTGCCATGGTGTAAATGAAATAACCTCTGAATGAATAACATGTAACCTCTCTGAACAAGCAAATGTTCAGAATGAGACTGTGTTATATGTAAGACATAAAACACATAAACAACAAAAAAAGCTACTTTATTTAATACCATCCTGATACTTGTAAGTCACTTCTTATGTCAATCTCCGGAACCCATGCTTCTTGATAATTAACTAAATTAAAGAGTAGAACTGAGTAAAATGAGCATGCACAGTTCACCCGTGAACCTTATCTGTGTTACTGATTGGAAATCATAAGTATTAAAAAAAAAAAAAGAAGAAAGTTTTTTTTTTTTTTTGAATGGAGTCTACTTTAACATGTAAAATTTATGGTTCCAAGGGACTTTGGAGATCATATAGTTCAACCTCTTCATTTCCTTTCCATGATAAGGTTCTAGAATGAGGGTTAGGGACTGTCCTAGGTTAGACAAACCCTATTTGCATTAACACTAAAACCCAACCCTCCTGACTCCTATTCCTTGGTTCTCACCTGCTACACCTGTGTACACCTGCTACACCTGTGTACCTATCACTGCTCTATTCTGACCTGATCCTTCCTGTTCAGTGCAAGAATATTTAAGGCTAACACAGCTGTAAATATAGTTTTCAGAATTTCCCCTACTTTCTTGTTTGAGCTTATGGCTTTTAAAATTATTATCTTTGAAAGAAGAGAATTTTTCTTTTGTGGTGTTGCTGATCGATATTTAAGTAGAATTTTTATTTTTCCATTAATTAGGGTAGCTTATCTGAATATTAGCCTTTGATAAACCGTAAAGGCAAAGTGAACAGATGAATGAATGATAAAAGACTAGTATGGGAGTATTTTTTTTTAAACTGAAGAACTAGCCTAAAAGCTGAACATTTGCATAGCTATTATTTTGACTGCAACTTCCTTTAAATGTGTTTCCTTTCCAGTTAACATATGTGAAAAGTGACCTCTTATCCATTTACATACCTACCCCAAAGTCATGTGATAGGGTTTTACGTCAAGCTGTCAATTATGATAACAGACACAATAAGAACAGCTGAAGTGTTGATAACCTGCTTCCTGACTTTATTGAAAAGTTTGCTGATAGTCCACTTGTGTCCCTTTAGTTGCTTGCCTCTAATAAATGGCTACTTTTCGAGTGGTTTTAGTGTACTGTGCTTTCACTTTGTCAGTTTGCAGGACACAAATAAGATTACAACTAATAATTTCGATTTAAAAAAAATTCTACAGAGGAAATGTCTTTAAAGGGCCATTTTGTGTAACAAAAATGTTCAGTGTAATACAAAGAACTTTCAAATTCAGGTCTCATACTACATTAAGAAAAGTGTTAAAAAATACTTCAAATATAAACTAGCCCAGTAATTGAAACAACAGTATTATCTAGTCATGCAAGAGATGGAACATGCTGAAGCTCAAGCACCTATAAAGTTCATGCAGTTGTAAGAAGTAATGAATTGATCAGACCACTCATTCAGTCATTAGCTCTAATAATAGGTAGCATATATAGTCAGGAGATTGCAATTTTGAGAGAATGAAAATACACTCCTTTTTCAACAAACTAGAGCTTACATGGCTTGTGTCACGGAGGGCAGAAGTGATCTTCCGTTTATTCTACCTAAAATCTCAAATCTATATTAAAAGTTAATAAACACTGGAATGGCTGGTTTGAATGGATGTCTTTTATAACAAGAGGCTTCCTAGTTACAATCTTTCATCTTCAACTTCCAATAAGTTTTTTAAAATATGGTATTAATACATGGTAATGAGGATTTATGCTTCTATTTTTATTTCAGACTCCTTTATAGTAGGGATAATCAAATTAATTAGATTGTCTTATATTGCCAAACATTTTGTGATAGCAAAGAAAGAAGGCCTGAAATTAGCAAATTTGTTATGAGATTGACCAGAAAAGGAACAGGTGCTAATTCAAGTAAATTGCTTCATACTAAAATTGTTAGACTAGATTATAATTTCTGCATTTTCTAAGCAACATCCAACATTCTACTAGATGGTTCCCATTTTCTCAAGGGGACAAAACATGGGAAATGTGCTGCCTTCACTGGGGTGAAGCCCAGTGTGTTGGTCATGAAGCATGAAATCGAAGGAAAAAAGAAAATGCTGCATTTTCCTAAACTCTGTGAAGTTAAGTAAGAGAGGACGTCTCCCACGTCTCTGGAAATGTTCCAAACTCTAAGAAGGCATTTCTCAGCAGAGACTAAACAGTCCAGTTTGCCAAAGCAGGACTCTGGAGTCCTTCAAGCCACCATACCATCTTCCAGTAGAGAAATTAAAGAAGAATGAAGCCCCAGTTGAGGTTCTGCTTTTAAGATTTCCATGTTCACAGTGAATGCATTGACTAAGCCAGCAATCCCAAAGGCAGACTAGTTCCAGACCTTGAACAATACTCAAGATTGTGTTAAAGATATAAAGGAAAATTCTAGTGCTAAGTTCCTGATCAGCTGCCATAGCTAATTATTATGACTAATTAAAGAGGATTGTTTTTAATGGCAAACTATCAAGTGGATTACATGAACTTTTTGGAAATATTCTTCACCATTATGTGAAGATATCATATTTGCAATGATAGGTGAAATTCCAGCGTGGGGAAAAACTAGCTTTTCAAGGCAGTTGGCAACCAGTTCTAATCAGTAATATCATTACAAAAAGTAGCACAAAAAGTATAGTTACTAGTAACAACTGTTGTGTATCAAGTTAATTATCATAAAAGTGTATACTTCTAATAGGAAGATTTATCAATGTTAATGTTTTATTATTTTAAGTGGAGTACAGGGATAATTTTAATATTTTAACATTCTCCATCTCAATTTAAAGAATGCTAGTATGCTGCTGTGTTAAAAATACTATACCGAGAGCCCTACTGTAGTGTCATTTTATGCAAAGATTTTTTTATAAGATAGTCAAAATTATTCAATAATTTTAAATTTATTGTTCCTAATTAATGTAGGCTATATTAAAGTTCTGTCCTAAAGAAAGAATAGCACTCAACAATGCACATCAATACTTTTCATAACCTAAAAGGATAAATCTTTATAAAGCAGTCACCATGAACTGAAGAATGTACCTGGTGACAATATTTATTCTTAAAGGGTCATGTATATTAAAGGCTATGGGGAATGTTTAAAAGAACACTCTCAAACTAAAACCATTGCCTTTCTAATTCTAAATTTCTCCTGGCTAATATAAAATGATTGATTACCTTTATTTCATGTACCCCTTGATTTTCCTTTTCATTCATCATTGAGTGCTTTAAACCAAATGCATTTAGAACCTGCCGCTAGAAGAGTGGTCTCTTTTAAATCTTTGTAAAGTAATGAAAGGACACAGTAAATCAATCAATTGCTGCTGTAGGAAAGAATAACCTTTACTCTACTGAAGTCATTTAAACTATTTCTGTTCCTCTGTTCTTGGATAGTAAACATAAAGCTTCATCTCTAGGATTCTGTTAAAATTTGAAAGGATAAAAATAATAGGCTTTTAACTGGAGTCTTAGTTTAGTCATATAGGACAATATGCATTTATATTTCTTTTTTTTTTTTTTTTTTTGGACAGGCAGAGTGGACAGTGAGAGAGAGAGACAGAGAGAAAGGTCTTCCTTTGCCGTTGGTTCACCCTCCAATGGCCGCCGCGGCCGGCGCGCTGCGGCCGGCGCACCGCGCCGATCCAGTGGCAGGAGCCAGGAGCCAGGTGCTTTTTCCTGGTCTCCCATGGGGTGCAGGGCCCAAGCACCTGGGCCATCCTCCACTGCACTCCCGGGCCACAGCAGAGGGCTGGCCTGGAAGAGGGGCAACCGGGACAGAATCCGGCACCCCGACCGGGACTAGAACCCGGTGTGCCGGCGCCGCTAGGCGGAGGATTAGCCTAGTGAGCCGCGGCGCCGGCCGCATTTATATTTCTTTATGGCATGCCTCAAAACTGTAGTTCATTATGAATTTGGCACACTGAGCTTCAAATTAAAAATTAGCACTAAGTCTTTCATGATGAAGAGGACAAATGATCTATGTGCATGGTTTTTATTAACTATGAAGTATCTATTGTTTTTCCTTTCCAGGATCATTATGGATCATGTATTCCATCCAAATCAGCTGCATCTGGCTGAACAAAATGCATACATATTGACAGTGGTCTTCACTCAACACTGTCCACTTAAATGACAAGTGTTGGTCTTTGATGAAAAAAGATGGAACTTCTGGAGTTCACATTCATTTTTCAATGAAAATGGTCCCACAACTCCATCTACACTAAGAATCTTATTTTCATGATGTGAAAATAAGATTTTGCTATGTCTTCTTATCTGTAGATATGTGAAAAGAGAGGTAACTTTTATATTAATAAACTTTCATGATCATAACTACACAAGACTCCAGAGTACTAAGTCATAAAATACAAACTGCCATGGGCTAGGGCAGGGGGTGGGAAGACAACTATTTCTAAGTTGGTAATAACATCCTAAATATGTCTGGGGCTAAAGGCTCAAGTAATGTAGGAATATTTTCATGAATTAAAAGTTAACTGGAAATTAGAGATGTGTCATAAACAATAAATGTAAGTCCCTTGACAAAAATAGCTCTGAAAATATGTGTAATGATTTTTAAAAGAACAAGTTTCTAAACCTGCATACTTTTAAAAAAGCACAATGAACACATCTATTGTCCAATAGAACCATATTCCAGTAATTATAACACATTTCATATTACAGCAATTTTAGAGGTGAAAAAAAAGGCAGCATTCCAGGGAATTATGTTGAGAAGCCAAAGGCTGGCAAAACCACTAATTATTATTTGGTATTTTCATAACTGTGTACAGATGTTTTCAGTTAGTTCTCACTCTTTTGTTTTGTTCTGTTTGCTTTTTGAAAAGCTGGCAAAACGACAAGTACCCTGAATAAGCTATCATCTTTATGATTTTCTCTGAACTCTGCCTGTGGTGACCTTTACCATATGCAGTCTGTCACCTTGGCCTGCGACTGGGAAGTGCACAGAAAACACCATTAAGGTAGCCTACAATAAGCATAAGCAAGGCAGACAGGTCTAGAATAAAATAAGAGGGCATGAGTATCTCTACAGGTTCCCTCTCTGTACATAAAAACTCTTACTTGTGTGAGTGCAGAAGTCTGCACAGACAACTTACAACTGAAAAGTCAGTCAAAACCAGTTCTCCCTTATTTATAAGCACCTATTGTTCCCTGTGTAATATTTCACATACTGTTAAATTCGAATTGCCCTCCTTTAAAACTTGAGTGCAGCAAACATATGAATAACAAAATATATTTAAATTCTGAAGTGTTTACAAGTATTTCTGTTATCCTATAACTAGAATTGTGGGATTTCTATATTGGTATGGGCCATGCTTTAGACTGTGGCTAATTTGTTTATAAGCTACCATTAATCCTGGCTGTATATTTTCACAGTTTGGGTAAACACTTCATTTGCATTAAATTTACAGCATTAATGAGATGTGAAATTTAAAATGCTACTTGGAACATAAATGATGTAAGAAAGCAGAACCAAGCAAAAAGTGTTTTTTATCACATTTGAAATCAGTAAAACAATTTAAACCTATTAAAATAGGAACGATGTGTCATTTGAGATTTTAGCTTTATAACTCATCTTTGACTAAAGTACAAAATTGAGGAGAAAAAGATCTGGAAAATATGAGATTGCTCAAACCACAAATTATATACAAGTTCTACCCCAAGTTGGCTTTTAAATTGGTTTTCAATTTTTGCCTTTGGAAGTTATAAGCTAGTAAGTTCTCAACAGCCAATAAGACTGAGAAAAATATCTCTGGCTGAAACACTGCTGTGCATGGATGTTATCAATATATGCTACAAGAGATGGGAAAAGCCAATTTGAGAAACTCTGTTCAGAGAGTTGAGAAACTAAAGATCAATGAGAACAAAATTTGGAAAATGAAATGATCAATTTTGGTCTCAGAAGCCCCGGGAACCCCGTTCTGAGCCCAGATCTGAGAGGCAACGTGGAGAAAAGCACCAAAGCGAGAGCGTGGCTGCACCATTACACCTGGGTGAAACTTGCCCACCTGTTGCTGATGTAGGAAGGATGGGTCTCTTGGGCTTAGTCCCACATATCGATTGGCTTGAGATGTGCCTGAGGCTGTGTAGGCTGATTAAGGAAGAACAAAAACAAAGATAAAAATTGTGAACTATCAGAATGAACACCTTGTCCATGTACAAGAAACCCAGAGAAGTGGGGATTTGCAACCAAAAAAAAAAAAAAAAAGTCTCTATTTCTCTTTTGCCTGAGTGAATGTCAGGTGATAGAAAAGAAAAGGTAGTTGACTTCACATCAACTAGTTTATCCCCCTGAAAGACTCTGTCTGATAAAGCACGTCCCATCCTTTGGTGTGTGTGCCTCGCACTCGCACTCACATGTTCCAGAACCAAGCACTAGTGTCCTAGGTGGGCCTTTATGCCAGATCCTAGTGATCTAATAGCAAATAATCAGTGATGGTCTGTGAGTCGAAATGTAAAAGCAGACTGAAGACTGTCAGGAAAAACTGACAATTTTTAATGATCGGGTTAAGCAGATGTGCTTGATGATATGAGATGAAAAATGTCTTATTTAAAGTCTTACTAACAAGATAATCTAATACTACTTTCATGAAGGAGGAGCCTATCTTTATTGTATTATGTAGAATTAATGAGCTCAGTGTGAATATGACCTCAAGTCAGATGGAAATGTTTTTGGAAAACATTATTCATGTTCCACAAGTGCAAAACACAATGATCCCTTTCTTGTGATTGGTCCAGGACTGGAGTTGACGACACTCCCTGGGTCACCAGGCACAAACACTTGGTCACCAGGTAGAATGCATCTATGGTGACTACTCCTTACACTGTTATCACAAGAATGCTTTAGAGTTTTGTGTTTTTCTTGGTACAGAGTGATTCTCAACAGAAAATTCTCCGTATTCCTAAAGATTTGTTTCTTTTCACAAGAAAAGAGTCAACAATAGATCTTCCAAGCACGAAAATCTTACTCACTGCTCCATGCAAGAGTAAGCAGAAGATCTAATATTTGGCCATTCTACATTGAAAGGTCTGAAGAAAACTGTAACGTTTGGCTTAAACCCATCAGGTTAGTGAGGAATCCATACAGTACTTTGAAATAAGTGGCCTTTTTAAAACCGACATTTTAATCCTGCCATGTTCCTTTAGAGGACTGCAGCATTTTGATCCACTGAGGCCTTTTTAGATTGACTTGTTAGAAGTAGGGAAGATGCTCACCACTCATCTTTTAATTACTTCTGAATAAAGGGCCCAGACAGAGGCTGCCATAACAACCAGTGATTCTGCTGCACCTCCAGGCCTCTAGAATTCAACACAGAGCATGGACAGTCAGGGAAGAGCCTCTCTGTACAGACCGTGCAGAGCCAGCACGGAATCTGAGCTGCTTTCTTTTCAACCATGAAAAAGAGGCTTCCTTGGTCTCTGTGTTTTCTTTAACTTTATTGACTTAGTTCAGTGACCAGTTTCTCATTATCACTGGTGCCTTGGGAGCTGGAGCTGTAACTTTGTTTATTGAAAAGAAAACTACTTGCTATATATCTTTTATGTAGGAGTGGAAAAGGGACTGAGGAAGCAACCAGGACACTCCTTTTGAATATTTGTCATTTTACTAGTCAATTCAGATCACTTTTTTTAACAACCTGTATGCGAGTATAAAAACATTCCATTAACAAACAGGCTGAAGGTGCTCTCGTAAGTGAGCTGTGCTCCTTTGGGTCTGACATGTCCCTGAATCTCATATACTGCCCACAGGAGTATTAAAGCAGGCACCAAAAGTTTCTAAGAACTGTTTTGATCATTTATCCACTAATAATCGTTCAGATGATTTTTAAATCTTTATTTCTATGTGTTTCTATTTAAATCACTGATTTTATTTATTCAAAGATGCCAAGATACTCAGTTTTAAAAATTTTTACAGTGATTTAGTGATTGTAATATATGTTCTGTTCTAAGGCAACAAACCCTTAGGACGAACAACACTCAGTTTTCTCTGTCTGGGCCTCTTCCATGTGTGCACTCAGGAGAGTCTTCACTGCTGTTAGGAACTTCTACCAAACCACTGGTTACTTAGCAGTCATAATTACTGATGGGTAAACTGTCAGCTGAGATGGAGTTATTATTTCGTGGGGATTCATGGATTTTGAGAAAGAAATGTGAATTTGCTATAAATTCAAAATATTATCCATTTTTCTTAGAGGGTTTCTCCTAGACTTTCAGAAGCCATTGAAAAGGAACATTTTACAAAAAGAGAAAGAACATCTTTTCGAGGGCCGAGAAAGCGAGCCAGGGGGACTGCTGTCTCTGGAATTCCACATGAGAATTTCCAGAGCATAGGGATTCCCTTGCTCAAGGGAAGAAAACAAGGAGATAAATGCATGATTGTGGAGGTTCATGCTAATTCCTCCTGGCCAGAATCTTCTCTGTTCCATTTTGCCAATCTGTGTGCACCAGCTCCATTTCTAAAAACCTGGTGGTTTGGGTGAAGCCAACTAAAAATGAATTCTTGTGTACTTCTGAGTATTGTATATGAAGAAGCAAAGTGTTCATTTGGCGAATTGATAGATGCTATGTTGAGTTCATTGGCTAAATCTCTGACATTAAATGTTATAGCCATGCTTAAAGGCATAGTATCTGATATACTGTGCTAGGCAAAAGTAACAAAAAGTTAAAAAAAAAAAAAAAAGTTGCAGGTAATGAAAGTGCAGGTAGCTTTTGTGTGCCTAACATTAAGCTCTGGAATGTTCTCTCCTGCACCCAACATTGTGTGAATGTTTCTAACAATGACACAGCCTACAGTAATGTAAACACAAAATTATCTTACAGAGGTACTGATTCAGTCTGCCTTGTGGTAGGGCTTGATTTCTGTAGGAATGCTCCAATAAGTAACACTTATCTAATCTCTCTTTGGATGATATAAAAACCTTGTATACTGAGTTATATTTTTTCTGTGCAACTTTGATGTATACCTTGAAGGAGCAGGCATGACTTATTATTTTTGATATAGTTGTTTACTCAAACAAATAAGCTTCTCCCTTTTCAAATGTAATGTACTGTTTGAAATTTGATAAGAGATAGCATGTGATAACTAGGCCACATACAAGCCTGCTAACTCCACATAAATGAGAAATCTCCATCTGGTCAGGTAGCTGGAAAAGTTGCTGTTTTCCACCTTGGATCAGACATCCAATGGCGCCTGTGATGGACATTTCTCATTTCCTGCAGAAATACTTACTGGTTGCTGTAGGTGAAGCTGCCTCACCTTCAGTGGATGTAGTGATGGGTTTAGTATCTGTCATGGTCAGGGTCACAGGTCGCACTGCACTGGGATGGGGAGAGGGTGCCAAGACAGGAGTGAAATGGCCAGGCACTTTCCCTACCACTTGACCACTGCTGTTAGGCTACAAAACAAAAACAGAATGCCGGGTGAAACAATCCAAAAGGCAACCATCTCAACCAACAACTCCACTCGGCACACGCAGTCACGTGGGTCCTGCTCACTGTGGGGGACAGCCACGCAGGCCTTCTCAAGTCTGGGTCCAAGAGGCCAATCACTGGTTAGTAGTAATAAGAAGCAGCAGCATCTATAAGATTTTCATCTTCAAGGCACGTCACATGGCTTACTTCATCTTTACAGCAACCCCTGCAAGTCAGGTACCCTTGATCCATGCTTCAAGTAGGCAGAAAATTCAAGTGCATATTAAATGCTTAGCCCAAGGGTAACACAGCATTTCTTACAGAGCTATCGAGAATTAGAACTCAGCAGTTCCTTAGTCTCTGCTCTTCTTGTTCCGTAGTGAGTCAGTTTTCATTTTTAGAACACAAATTTCACTTAAATGAAGATATCACTCATGCAAGGAAAATTAGAATATCTAGGAGGTCAAACACACCATACTCTGTGGGGTTTCTGTCATTTATAGTCAAGGCTCACTCTTCTACAAAAAAAAACCTCTAGCTCTCACACACACGTATGTTCAGACACACACACTGGACAGTTTAGACTTCAGGATCTCTATACAACTTTTGATGATTTACTAATACAAACAAATAGAATGAAATTTAAGATTTCTCAAGTTTCAGATCCACACAATGATATAAAATGCTGAACTGGGTGTGACCTTACAACTACAAATAAACTATTTCCAAAGTAAATTAAAATATACTGAAGTGAACCAGAGGACAAATGCACATTGCTATTTGAGTTACTCTTCTTTTGCTGTGCATAGTAAGTTACACAAAACATTTATGGGAATTGACTGAGAAAATCCCCTGGGTAGTGATAGAAAAGATATTATTATCTGAGTTTTAGCCCCTGAGTGCAAAAATAGTTTCTGTAATAAGAGACAAAATCTTAAGGGTACGTGCAGAAATCCTGGAATGTATTTTTCTTTAGAGAGACTGCTATTTTTGATTATATTCATATTGAAATTCTCCACTACATGTTGTTCATAAACATTCTACGAAGAGATTATTCTCTACAAATGTATAAGCTTTATTATCTGAAATGCTAAAGGCAAATAACAGCAATGAAACAAAATGTTATCTAAATACCTGCCCATAAATTACTAGTAGACTTTTTTTGTAAGGAAAAAAAATGAACAGCTAATAATAGTGTGACTTAGAGACATGAACTAAGTTTTTGGTTGGCTCCCTCAGAGGCTGCATTCTTTATTCTATAAAGCAAATGAACTTGGATATCCTGACTATTCATCATATGTAATTTTAAGCATTTAACTTTATGTCAGGAAAACTGACTAGAGTTTTCCTCTACGGAAACCTATGGGAGAGTTATATCTTTAAACTAATTTTATTGAAAATATTCTATTGAATAGTATGTCTGTCTCACTATAATTGGTGTAGCAGTAATGTAATTAATCTCCAAATTGCTGTGGGAAGGAAAAGGAATCTCAGTTGCTTAACTTAACAATCAAATATCAGTGCAGCGCTGGAGAATACTGAAAAGAAAGGTTCACTCTAGGTGAACGGTGAGTGAGTACTCATTTTTTTTTTCCCATTTGTAGTATTAAAAAGGTGAATATCAAACAATCTACCTTGCAGAGCAAATTAATTCGTTTGGGGCTGTGGTTAAAAATCAAAGCAGATATAATGTTACTAAGAAAGAAATTCAGCAATTATTATAAAGACTCATTTTTTTCCTTTCAATGGGAAAAACAGTTTGTTTCTAAAGCAGACCACCAACTTCTGGTTATTTGAATACTATAAATGACTGCTGTATATTAGTATGTCTTCAGAAAGAAGAAAGGTCTTGCTTTCTCATCAGTGGGTGGTGCAAAACAGGTTGGTAGTACCTACCTGCAACAGAAGCAAAATGGCAATAACTTCAAGGAAATACTGCCTCTGGATATGAAGTGACCCTGCCCATTGTGCAGATTATGCTTCAGAAATTGAAGCAACATGAACAAACAGACCTTCCTCTCACTTAAAAATAACATAAGTGATGGAGAAGGAACTCCCAAGACAATGCAGACAGCTTCTCTGGAACTCAGGGTCAGAAGAGTGAGAGGTTGTCTTCAGTTTTCCACTGAACAGATGAAGCTACACTCCAAGGCCTCTATCTTTTAAGGCTGTTAATAGATGTAGATAGGAAGGGAGAGATGTCTTATCTGAAGCTGAAGCTAAACAGCATTAGGAAAGGATTATCCTGCTTAGTACATTGCTTCTATTATACAAAATCCTAAGAGGTTTTTTTTTTTTTTTTTCCCCCTAAATAGAGATGAGGGTAAGATGCTTCTCCAAGAAGCCGGATCTTTACCTTTGAAAATGTAAAGAAAAGTTGAGAACAATATAGGCAGATTATCACCTCATATGCCCTCTTAACTTATAAAGAAAATGAAATATACGTAAAACAAGCACTGAATAATTAAAGAAATGCGTAACACTAAGGGCCTGATTTTAATTTGCATAATTTTTCCCCTAACGGTGCCTAATTAAGACATCAGTTCAAAAAAAAAAGTCCAATGAAACTCTAAGATTTTCCACACTGAATTAACGTTAAGGACTTTTAATGGATGTCTTAATTAGACTTTGTTATTCATGGAAATTCTACACAAATTAAAATCAGACCTTGTGTGCACTGTTCCCAGCTGAGTCTAGCAAAATGCTCTATGGAACTGAGACTTTTGAATCTACGCTCTGACAGCAAATTTTATTTCTGAACTGATAGACTAAGACACTGCTCTTTCCTTACTTGTCATTGGTGTCATAATCCTTAAAAGTGCTATACCCTTTGAATATTTTCTTCAAAATAAATCATAAGTGTTTAACTTCAAATTCAAGACTCAGTACTTAGTTTTGTTTATTAGTTAATGGAGGTAAAAGTAAAGGTAACTTTTTAAGTAACCCAAAGAGTGCTAGATATGTTATAATTCAGAACTAAATACTCAAAAAGGCCCATTTTGCTTTATCTTAACAAACTAAAACCCAGGGGATTCTTTTTAACCTTTCTTTGTCTATGGATATGCACATATTATTTATTAACATTAATGGAAGTAATGATAGCATGTTTGGGAAAATCCCCCAAAGCATTAAGAGATATAATAAGAAGTGGACAGGAGTCTTGGAAGTAAAGCAGCAAAACCAAATAGCAGACCACACAATCAAGATGACCTTGCAGACTTTGCGTATTATGATTATTAGTAGACGCAGCTTTGGTACAAAGACTGTCTACTTGATTGTGGAAAACTCTCTTAAATCAAATCCCTAGGAAGTGACCTTGCCATAGAAGAAACCACATGTCTGGGGAGTGAGAAATGTACATGAGTCACTATACTTTCACAATGAATCCCCAAAAACCACTGCACAATGTTTACCGAAAAAAAAAAAAAAAAGACCCTTCTAGTAATGTCACTCATTATTAACTGAAAGTCATGTCTCTGCACAGAATATTCAAGTAGTCATCAAACACTGAAAATGTTGACATTACCAAAGCTTATTTAAATACCTAATAGCTGGTCTATAAACACAACTGTAAGTTCTTTTGTGTGTGTTTATTTTAGCGCATACCTTGCTCTGCCTGAAATAAGCACTTTGTCTGTGTCAAACCAGGTATTTCAGAGGTGTGAACTTCAGCTCAGAGCTTTTTTGTCAATGTGTTTTCTGCAGAAACTTTCTCTTCAATGAGAAATCCAAAAACAGTAACCCCAAACTTCGCAAATGTACCCCTTTGGGGCAACACACTTCCTACCTGTCATTCAGATACCTTTAAATAATAAAAACTTACTGAGTCACCAAGAAACTTCCTGAAGACGAATTTCAAGGCTTGATGTTCTGCCAGACACACTGGCTGACTAACCTTCGAGACTTAGAGTCAGACCTGCCCCAACTCCCATAAGGCTCTAGTCTTATTTCTCTCTCCTATTTTTACCTGGCTGGTTTGTGGGCTGGATGGGTCATAAGAAGGTACATAGTTCTTCAGAGTCTCCTGAGGATTCAGGTGGGGAGGATATCTGATTGTTGGATGAGAAAAGTAGCTCGACGGGGCCGGAGGAAGGATAGCTTGTGTTGGAAATGGCAACGGTGAGGGTGGAGGTGGAGTTCGAGTTGAGATGACTGTAGAAGAAAGCAAAGGAGAGATTGACTCATCAGCTGTTGCCCTCACTGCTTCGTTCTGATCCTAAAGAAGGCTGTGAAACTATAAAACCGGCAGCCATTCATTTTTTTCCCCATGATTTAACCAAGTGCCCCTAAAGTAAAAGTCACTGTTCAACTTTTGTCATCAATGCCAGTACTATGAAGCAGACAGAAACAAAACCCCAGTTTCAGGAATGAACCATCTTGCTTTCTAGATTTGTGAGTAATTCAAAAAAATAAATTTCTTCTTTATAGGTTCCCCCAAGACTGGATAAAACATTTCAATGAGCAAAGTTAATTCCCATCAAAAACACAACCTTTGATTATAAAACCTTTGCCTCACAAGTCCAGACCAGTCAGGGCATTGATTAGCAGTCAGGAGATAAAAATTTTCTACCCAAATTCAAAACAGAAGTGTAATCCAATTTCTTTCTTTCTTTCTTTCTTTTTTTTTTTGACAGGTAGAGTTATAGACAGTGAAAGAGACAGAGAGAAAGGTCTTCCTTCCATTGGTTCACTCCTCAAATGGCTGCTACAGCCGACGCTATGCTGATCCGAAGCCAGGAGCCAGGTGCTTCTTCCTGGTTTCCCATGCGGGTGCAGGGCCCAAACACTTGGGCCATCCTCCACTGCCCTCCTGGGCCACAGCAGAGAGCTGGACTGGAAGAGGAGCAATTGGGACTAGAACCTCGTGCCCATAAGGGATGCCTGCGCCACAGGCGGAAGATTAACCAAGTGAGCCATGGCGCTGGCACCCTCCAATTTCAAATATACATCCTAGCTGGCAGTTGATTAGAAGGAAAGCTAATAATTAAATATAATAATCTCATGTTTGCTTACAAACATTCAAACACAGGATCTGGGAACTCATCAACCTAATAAAAATGCTCCCCAAGTCCAAAAGAGCCATGTTTACAATCATTTGTCTTCCTCTGTAAATTTTACTATACATACCTTAAATGATACTGTTAGGGTAAGGTCAAGAATAAAACCTACAGAAATGCAACTTAAAGTTTTCATATAGGCATGTATATTAATTTACCATTAGTATAGTATTAACATACTAAGGATATCAATATACCCTTAATATCAGCATTAATATGATCATAATCTATTGTACAATTTTTGAAATAAAATTATTAAGTTTGACAGATGGGGAAATAAAATTACATGGTCATTATTTTTTTAAAGATTTATTTATTCATTTGAAAGGCAGAGTCACAGAGAGAGAGCAAGATCTTCCATCACTGGTTCACTCTCCAAATGGTTGCAAAGGCCAGGTCTGGGCCAAGCTGAAGCAAGCAGCCAGGAGCTTCATCTTTGTCTCTCACATGGGTGCAGGGGTCCAAGGCCTCAAGGCCATCCTCCGCTGCTTTCCCAGGCGCATTAGCAGGGAGCTGGATTGGAACTGGAGTAGCTGGGATGCAAACTGGTGCCCATATGGGATGCCGGCAGTGCAGGCATTGGCTTAACCTTCTATGCCACAGTGCTGGCCCCTTGCATGGTCATAATGTTGACAGTACTAATCACAGAAGTACTAATTAAAAGTACCAACCAAAAAAAAAAAAAAAGTACCAACCAATATATGCAGAACTGAAGACGAAATGTCTGTTTCTATCAAAATGGCCATCTAAATCATAGAAAATTACAAATGATGAATGTTTATGAGACAACTAAGCAAACAATATGAAAAAATAAACTCTTCCCATGACCTATAAAGGAAAACCATCTGGAATGACTTATTTCTAACTTTGTAATTATGGCAAAAAAGTTAAGGGGTATTGCTTATCTCTCCCAAAGAAAACTTTTTTTAGAAGATGTGACAAATGAAGTTGTATATCACAGCAGAATTACAAATGCCATTTCCTGGTTGCAGCTTTGTTTCTTATCATTCTCTGCATTGTTATCCTGAGGGAACTTCCAGGGCCTAACCACACACGCACTGGACCCACCAACACAGAGAGGCTTTTCAGAAAACAACAGTATATTTCTTGAAATAAAATTCCTTACTGAAGCATCATTTTATTTAAAAAGTATACCCATTTGAAAGTATAATTTAAGGAAATACAAGCATTTTAGTGAAATCGAGCTTCTTTTTACTTAGTGTCAAAGTGCTCTGAATCTCAGTTGAATTTAACCATAGACAGCTCACATCTGTACACAGTCTCTCGAAGGATATATACATACTTCCATCTTGAGTCTCCTGGGTTTTGAGATTAATTTTGCCTTAGTTCTGGAAAAGATCTCTTTTCAGCAGAATTGGCACAAATCAAATCTGAACTCGAATGTCTGGGCAACCTGGCACTGTGCTCATAGGAGCTGCAGCTGTCCTGAGACAACTGGGTATAATGTCTTCTTTCAAATCGAAAGTAAAAATGCCTATCTTATCAATAAGAGCCCTTCTAGCCCTTTAAAAAAATAGAAAAGCAAATCAAAAATATTTTTGAAAAATACAAAAGTACATGTATTTCTTGACTACATTATTGCAAACACTTCCTAATTGCCTTCCTCCGGTCTCCCTCCTGCTAATACACCCTTTACAGTTCCATACAAATGACTTTTTAAAAAATCACTATAATTAAGTGACTTCTCAGCTGAAAATATTCCAGTGTTCTTCTACTGCTTCCAGAAAAAAAAATCCCAACAACTTCATAGGTACATACAGTTTTCATGTGCTGGAGGAGCTAGTCCTGGATCAGCTCTTTGCATCCATCCTTGACCACATCAAGAGATATGGGGATGCTTGGACATCTGACACTTCCTTGCTGCCATGACCTCTAAAACACTGGTATGTCCCATTGCCTTTGCCTGAAACTCTCTTCCTTGGGGCTTGTGGTGAACTTAAACTTCAAACTGAGTTCACAGCATGTGTCTTCCAGGCATCTAATCCTCTTCTAAGTGTCTAGCGCTGTTCAGATCAGATGTCTAGCCCGTGTTGTAGTACTTCCGTTTCCTGACTTCATCATGAGTTCCTTAAGAACAGAAACTGGGGACCTGCTACACCACAATGCAGGCATCCCATATGGGTGCCAGTTCGAGTCCTGCTGCTCCACTTCCAATCCAGCTCCCTGCTAATGGCCTGGGAAAGCAGCAGAAGATGGCCCAAGTGTCTGGGCCCCTGCACACACATGGGAGATCCAGATGCAGCTCCTGGCTCAGGCCTGACCCAGACCTAGCCATTGCGGCCATCTGGGGAGTGAACCAGTGGATGGAAGACCTCTCTCTCTCAATCCTCTCTCCCTCTCTCTCTCTGCTTCTCTCTCTGTAACTTTGCCTTTCAAATAAATAAATAAGTCTTAAAAAAAAAAAAAAACCAGAAACTGTCTTTTATGACCAAAGTGCTTATTACAGTCCCCAGAATATTAGATATTGAGCAAATACCTCGTGAAAAACCAACATGGAAGGTTTACATAGATCTCCCATGTTTTAACATGTAAAAACATGCTACTTATTTTTCAAATGTTAAGTATTTTAATCATATTAAATATTACATTTAAAACAATAAATATTTAATAAAAAATAACAGCTTCTAAGTTAATTTTATGTCATTATTCAGCATTCTAAATCTATGAAATAGTTACTGACTTTTTTCACTTATCTTAGTAACAGAAGCAATAAATATAAAATTTTTATGCCATAGTTAATTTATAAACCCCTCTCTGAATTTCTTATTTTTCCTAATGTCAGCAATAAAATTTAACTATACCAACAATAAATATCAACAAAATACTTACAAGTCAAAACTAAGGAATTAGCTTAACAGATGTTATATTCTTTGAATAAAAATTTAAAAAGCAGGGGCTGACATTCTGGTATAGAGAGTAAAGCCATAGCCTGCAAGGCTAGCATTCTCTATGGATGCTGGTTCAAGTCCCAGCTCCTCCACTTCCAATCCAGCTCCCTGCTGATGTGTCTGGGAAAGCGGTGGAAGTTCTTGGGCGCCTACCACCCATGTGGGAGATCCAGACACAGCTCCTGGTTCCTGCCTTGGGGACTAGCCCAGCTGTAGCCATTGTGTCATTTGGGTAGTAAACCAAGGGACAGAAGATCTCTCTCTCTGTAACTCTTCATTAAGATAAATAAATAAGCTCTTTTAAAAAGATTTAAAAAACACATTTAGTTTGAAGAATATGTAACTGCCTGATGATAGACTTAAAGCAATAAGGTTTATTACTATAAACATTAATACACGAAAATTTTTCCATGTAGAATTCAGTCTCCTCTTCTTAGGACATAATGATAATAAATAGGTAGAAATCATATAATATTTATGATTATTATATCTCATTTTTAATTTTAAAGATGATTTAATATTATTTGCTGGTGAAAGTGCAAATGTAGAATATTGAATTCTTTGCTTTATTTAAATTGATATTAGACATTATATCAAATGTATTAGCCCAAAGGATTTGAAGATGAACTTCAAAAGTTCATGGAAATAGCATTAGAAGATAAGTTTATTTTGATACAAAAATTTCAAAGTTCATGCATAGTTGTTTCATAAGACACATTTTCCATGAACTTCTTCAAGGCACTTTGTATAAAGCTATTGGTAAAGTGCCTCTTTTATTTTCTGGTGAACTTCATTACCAAATAAGTAAATACAGATTTGTGTCTAGAAAACAACCTCTATGGAAATAGTGTCCATATATCTTAATGCCTTTGGGATATAGTCTGAACTTAACAACATACTGGACATTCCAGCTCTTCCTTAGTAAAATCTATCACATTAGGACCAGTCCAGAAACTACTGTTAAAATAACGTTGGATCCTTTATTTCCTAAGTTTTGTGATGATAATCTGTCCAACAATGGCAATTCAAAAATACATACATAAATAGTATTTAGTTGTATGGCTTTGAACATTTCTTCTTATAGATTAATAAGAAAAAATATTTAATCATACTATGACCTTCCCCTTTTTGGTTGAGAAAATATGGTCACCATAGACACAAACTTCTGCTCCCTCCCTAGAGGTCTGGGCCCTGCAGACAAGAAAGGAGACTCTCCTCTATGCTTGAAACTCCTCACCACTGTGTGCAACTCCAGGTATTCCGGGATGATGGTGCTGGGGGAAAGTGCTCAGTCTTGGGGAAGAATCCTGTGGAGATGTGGAGCTGAACAATGGCTTTTCAGGCTTCTTCATAGTAGTCGGAGAAGACATATCTTCAAAGGAAGAGAGAAAAATCCATGTTATACAACCTTCCAACACTATATGGGTCATTTCAACATCATCCAAGATCTCATTTTCCAACCTTTCAGGATTTCTGGGCTTTGGCTCTTGGAGAAAACCTCTCCTGATGCTCAAAGGCTCAGCCACGTTGGAGCTTTGAAACAGCTCCGTCAGAAGCAAGCTCCGTTGAAGGTCATTGAAGCCTGCTTCGAAAGCACTGTCTGAATCATGCCTGTTACCAAATACATCTTAAACTTCTGAAAACCCACGCATCATGTTTTCTTTAGTCCCTTGGTTCACATAAAGGTGTTATTTACCTGGATTTTCATTTATATGATTTATGAGATTCAGGTGCTTGTCTTTTGACCCTCCAACCTCACTGTGAGCACAGAGGACAACTTGGTGCAAATGTGAAAAACAACCTTTGGGTGTGCTGGTAAGTATATCATTGATTTTACATCCTTTATGGAAAAATCATTCACTTGTTTAGCAAAAAGTACATTCCTTAAAATTTGCTCATCTGGCAAATATTTACTGGTTTCTCTGTTTGCCAGGTAAAGTGAAGATGGTTAAGAAAAATAAAAATCCCGGCTCTAGGGATGCTCACTGTCAGTGAGGAAGAAAATAATTGTCGACAGTCAAGAGACAGAAAGGGTGTTGACGGCAGGGACATTGTGACATTCGCTGCCTCTGTGTGCAATACACTGATCAAATCTGCCTCCCCATGTTAAGGAAGGCGTCCCATAGTGACATTGTTTTCCAAAGGTGGATGGGTACAACATCCCCAGAATGGAAGTGTTCACAAAAAGAAGGGCATAGAATATGCACAAATCCCAAGTACAGGCGTACAGCGGTAAAGGACAGAGATGAAGAGGGGAAGCAAATAAGAATGAATTGCCAGGGACTTCTGGTACAAATCCAGAATGTTTATCTTGATGGGAGAAATACTATGTGTGAGCAAAATAAGATTACAACTATAGTGTAGGGCAATCCCCCCAGAAACTAAATGGAGAATGGATTAGCCAAAGTGGAGACAAAATCACGGTGGGTGCTTAAGTAGATAGGTTGAGTAACACATTCATTCCATAAATATTTACTGAAGACCCAATTTATGTCAGATATCACACTAGTGATGCACAACGGTGAACTGGATTCACTTTTCCCTACTATGAAACCTAAAATCCTGCGGCAGGTGTTTAGTGCAGCAGAGAAAACTTTTCTTGGGACACCTGCATCCCCTATCAGAGTACCAGGGTTTGACTTCCCACTCTAGAGTTCAGTTTCCTGCTTATGTGTACCCTGGTGGCAGCAGGTAGTTGAGTCTCTGTTACACACATGGGAATCTGGATTGAGATCCAGGCTTCTGGTTTAGACCTAGCCCAACCCTCACTGTTGAGGAACAAACCAGTGATGGCAGTTTGCTCTTACTCACACACACTCTCTCTCCCTCTTTCAGATGCGTAAAACCAGTAAGTTAAAATTAAAAGAAAAAATAAAGTGAGGGGATATGAGCAAGTAGAAAGGAATTACAAATTACAAAAGGAGAAGTATATGGAGCTTCACTCATTCATCCATTCCATAAATATTTAATATTGTCAAAAGATAAATCCTGAGAGCTTTAAATTAGAGTAAGGACAGAGCTAAGGCAATAGGTAATTAAATGGAATTGACCCAATCAAATCAGTAACTGAAGTAGAAGGTCATCATCTTAGGTGACTAACGGATTACAACAAACAGTTATTTGGACCAGAGAAATTAGGAGGAAATCTGGTAGAAGAGATGTGTCTTGGTTTTAACATCATGAGAAATTTTTATGGGAGTTTGTAATTTTTATAGCAGAATGTTGTAAAAATGATATGAGTGATAAAATTTGTATTTTTATTATCAAAGATTTTAAATATATACACAAGTACACAGAGTAGTAATTGATTCTCATATACCCATCAGCCACCTTTAGCAATTATCAACTCATAGGAAACTTATTTCATTTTTATTTCCATCTATATTTCCTCCCCTTATCTTGCTTTGAAGAAAATCCCAGATCCTGTGCAATTTTACCTCAACATATTTCAGTATGCATTTCTAAAAACAAATTTTATGAAAACAACAAAATCTGGGGCTGACACTGTGGTGTAGTGGGTAAAGCCACTGCCTGCAGTGCCGGCATCCCATATGAGCTCTGGTTTGAGTCCTGGCTGCTCCACTTCCGATCCAGCTCTCTGCTATGGCCTGGGAAAGCAGTAGAAGATGTCTCAAGTCCTGGGGCCGCTGCACCCGAGTAAGAGACTTGAAAGAAGCTCCTGGCCCCTGGCTTCTGATCCACATAGCTACAGCCATTGCAGCCAATTGGGAAGTGAACCACTGGATGGAGGACCTCTTTCTCGCTCTCGCTCTTGTTCTCTCTCTGCCTCTCCTTCTCTCTGTGTAAATCTGACTTTCAAATAAATAAATAAATCTTTAAAAAATAATATCACATAAAATATGTACATTTTGTATTTTTAACTAGAAATTTTTTAAATGACAAGAAGACCTCATAGTGATGTTAACATAACATACAGCTATTATTATATTTTATCATTTTAAAGATTGCCTAGGCTCTGGTAAAGCCATCTAATGGAACTAAATATGTGTTTCCAGTATGCTGGCACTTAAAGAATGGATTAAAGACAGTAGACAGTGTGGTCTACAAAAAAATGTCAAGTGCATTTGTAGCCATAAGCTACAATTTGTGACTAACTGGCTGTACTAACCTATCAGAACATTGATGAGTCAGAAAATTATTTCTTTGCATTTTTCTCAAAAAGTAAAAACAAAAGAATTTTTCATGAAATCACAGCAATTAATGCCACCACACACAAAAAAAGAAATTTTAAACTAAGGTTGAAAATTAGACAAAGGAATCTCATTTCAGCTATCTTTAAAATACCCAAAATAATACTTAATTTCTCTTAACAGCCACACAGTTTTAAAAGATGAAACTACAAATACAGGTTTTTGCCTACTGGAGGTTAAATCATAGACATATACATTGTGAGAAGTGGGGAAAAAAGACCTCTATTCCACTCCTCATGGTACAGACGATGAAATAATTTTCTATTCTAATTTTTTAATTTACAATTACCTCTTAGAAAGAGAAACTGGTAACTTTCTATTTACACTCTAATACTTTGCCTGTGCTTAAATATAAATTTCATATAAAATGAACCTGAGTAAATCAGTTTTTAAAAACTCCACAGTATACATAATACAGCAAAAACGATATAGCATTTCAAAACAACTGAACGTGATCAGAGCTTGAAAGCGGAATAGTGTCATTCTAGTTATGTCTTTGTTGGAGAAGAGGATCAATTAAGGCAACTACAACCACCATAACTGTTTCAGAATTTTCCATTAATCCCAGAAAAATTCACATGAGTCTCTTTTTTTATGAAAGTCACATAAATCAAGGGTGTTGTATAGAAATTCTAGAGGCGATTACGTGATTTTTAAGAAATGATGCTTTGCATTTTCTTAGCCAAAATGATTCACTTGGCTTTATTGTGTAATTACTTTGAGTCTATTTATTATTCTGGTTCTCTTTTAAGCATGCATCTAATAATAATGATGGCACCTTCATGTTCCGAACACCCAGAGGTCTACAGAGGTCAACACAACAGAAACAGAATAAAAATTATCAGTGTTCAACTTGTGAAAGGGACTACAGACTGTGTTTGCAAACAATAAAAGTAACTTATAACAAAAATAAAATGGGAAGATTCACAGGCCAGACTGAAAGGATGTGCCTTAGAAACAGGTAAAGAATGGTAAAATTAAGATGTAGGCTTAATTGTCTTTGTTTTCCCATTAAATCAAATTATTTCAGTGCTATTAATCAATAAACATATACTGCCATATAGCATGCAGAAGGCCCTATCCTAAGCATTAGGGATACATGAGTCTTTGAGTGAATTTGAGTGAATATGCTCTCAAATTAAAAAAAAAAAAAATTCAGTGAACTGCAGGAGGAAGGAAAGGTCAATTATCTGGGACAAGTAAAGGTAGAGTTTATATCTCTTAAGTTGTAACCATGAGCCAAACTAGTATTGTTTGGATTTTAATTTTATTTTGAATGTCTGCAGTCTAGTAGACTTCATGCCAAACTGAAGGATGATATCATTTCTATTTTTAATGCACTCACATGCTACAGAAAAATAATGTTTGAGGGATGGCTATAGAAACGAGATGATTTTAAATTACATTTCTGTGAAGAAAAACAAATGTCTTGCTTTTCACAATCTACTGTTTCTTAAGCAGGAAGAATAATACATAGGAAGTTTAAGTTGACTATAAGGTGAATAATGCATAAATGCATAACAAGTTAAATAACAACATATAAATCTAACAATGCATAAGTTGATTAATGAACAAAGTAAAGAAGCTGAAGAGAGAAGTGGGATGGTAAAAAAAAAAAAAAGATCAGCTGAAATTTCTATTGATAGGAGGCAGGCAGGAACTGCTGGTGGATGATGACAAAGAAGCAAAACCCATGAGGGCTTGAAATCAGTAAAAAAAAAAATTAAGTTTAATTCAGGAAAGAACAATTGCAAATGAATCAATAGCAAGAGGGAAAGACTTTCCAAACAGTCTGTAATTTTCAGTTTTCCTAGCTTCCACTAGGCTCTTTTCCCTTGCAACTGGATGAATCAAGAATCTCCTTTTAAGTTTTCTCCAGGTCCTCTCACTATGGCTCATTATAAAAACAGTTGTTGGAATTCTATCCCTCCAGCAATCATTCTCAGGTGAAGATCCACCATGGCACCACACATCTATATAATTTGACCCCATCATTCCATTTTATTTCTATTCTAGTTAAACTAACTTGCTTATGGCCACCACGGAGGGGGGACAGGAGGAACTTATTTCTAATTCTGTCATTTTCTGCAATTGATGGCCATTTATGCTAGAAAATTATGGTTTTTTACTTGCTTATTCCACCTGTCAAATGATATTTTAT